CGTGATGGAATACGCTAGGGCCTCAACCATCGGTTTGGAATGCCCCGACCTGTTGGCTTACACACAAAGCAGTGAAGCCTCAACCACTAACCAATCATGTGAATATAACACAAATAAACATACTATTAACCAGCCAACAAACAAACAGATAGATCTTATAGATCACTAAGCATAACATCATCCTATCTACCAGGATTCTGATCTAATAGATCACTATCATGTAACATCACGCACAACATGATATCAATCCCGGGGGGGAGGGGGGGCATTGGTGCCTTTGACCTACAAGTACAGTGAGGAAAACTCACCTTACAATGTCGAACCATACTGAAAACCTCCGACTGCCGACTCATGAAAATCCCAAACTAGCACAACAAAACAAACATCCATTTAACAATTGGATTACCATCCTTAATTAAGGATCCAGACTTAAGGTAAATGGCCACTTTACCCTATCCTAAATTGGGCCAAGGCCCAAGTCCAATTTTGATCCAAGAGGCCAAATTACTGCAAGACCCATAATTCGCTTAATTTTCCAAATTTGGCCCAAATCCTTATTGGGCCTTATCCTTAGGTCCAATTCTCAAACTAACACAAAACACTCATACCCAGAAAGTCTAATGAGGGCCCAAGTCATTCAAGCCCAAAAAGGTGGCCCAAAACTCGAAGCCTAAACTCAAAAGTCCACAGACAACGTATGTTGGCGATACACTGGAGGTACGCAAGGCGTACACGAGCCTCACATTGACCACCATCGAGGTGGTTGACCAAGTACGCAATGTGTACTCCTCCCTACGCGGGGCGTACCCTCGTAGATCCCAAAGGTCCATTAAGTGCTAAATAGCTTAAGCACTTAAGCCCAAATTACATATCCATGGTCCAAATGCACCCTAGAGTCATAAAGTCTCCAACTTTATGACTTTACACGTCCATAAACTCTTAATATAAGGTCTTAATCCAATAAGACCCTTTTTCCAAATGTATAAGACACTTTTGGCCATTAGGACCTCATTTTTATGACTAAGGACCCTTCATAGGGCCTAGAAGGACAACCCAAAACGTCCAAAATCAAACATGCACAACAATGAGACTTTTAGGGACAAAAGAACATCATAAAGCTACTAAGATGAGATCTAAGCAAACCAAACATAAAGAACATCATAAAGCTACTAAGATCTGGAGCTTCCAAATGAGATGATGATCTACGATCTACAAGCTTTCCTTCCTTCATTGACTCCTTAATACACTTTCTTCTCCTTTAAGCACACAAATAACACATTTTAAGCTCAAAACACTCTCTTATGGGGTTAGGGTTTGCTAAGAATGGCTCAAAGACTTGGAGGCTGAAAAAGTGAGGCTAAATGATCCATAAAGGTGCTTAAATACTCTTCAAACCCTAAAAATTAGGGTTTCACTCGGACATTAGTACGCCCTGCGTACATATGTGTATGCACAGTGTACTCACATGTACGCTCAACGTACTACTCATGCTCCAAAAAATTGTCATTTTGATGCGTACATATGTGTACGCCCAACATACTACTCATGCTCCCAAAAATTTCCATTTTGCCACTAGGGCTTCTTAAGGCTACATCTTTATACTCCAAGGGCCCAAAATGACATATTTAAAAACTAAAGGAAGGATTTGAAAATACCTGAAAGTCCAGGATGTTATAGTTTGTGGAATTAATCCCTGTTAAACATAAAAAAAAATACTAATCTACACTTTTAATTTGTTTTTCTATTTTCTTAAACATTTTCTTTTTTATTTAAAATATTAAAAGTAAAAACAAATAAAGAGGGGGCCCCACTTCTCTCTCTCCAGCACAACCCAGCAAATCTTTCTCTATATTAAACACTAAAGTACAAAAACAAGGCCGCAATTTTCTAACAAATGCTGATTGATTCCCTTTATTTTAAGTTAATTTGAGAGGCTACCATTACAATTACTATCATCGTCATCAACTTCTTCCATATGAACACTCATAAATCTATCTCTTCGTATAATGGTTTAGGTTTTTTTTTACGCATTCTTTTTGGGTTCATCTAGAATACACACTCTTCTGCTTGTATTCAAGCTCTCCTATGGGCCCTCTTCTCTACTTAAGACTTTAATGGTGAAAAAACAGTAAAATTAGTCTCCATTTTGTTTTTCTTTTTTCCACCATTTCTTGCTGTCTTGGATTTTGGGGGTTTTAGGTCGAAATTATCGTTCTTTGAGTTTCTTCATGATATCTTAGGCTTTGCTTCATGGGGTTTTGTTTTTTTCTATCTATAATTTCTAGGCTTTTGATTTTGTATGTGGAGATATGAGTTTGAGTTAATATGTCTTTATTAACTTTGTTGACAGTTTTTAAAGTTTGTGCCTTTTGAATGTATTGCTATTTTCTTTATCTTCAATCGGGTTTCAAATTCAAATTGTAGGTGCATCACTTCTGGAATCATAATCTTGATTTGAATCTTTAATTTGAAGAAACCCTAATCTCAACACAAGGCCCCATTTATGTTAATAACGTAAAGCTTAGGTAAATGCTCTTGAAAATAACGAAAATATTCAAAAACTGAATCTTGAATCTGAATTCATCTGAAAATATGGTAGGATCAATACTTTCATTCGAAGCTTGCAATTGGAGACGATGATGAATCATGAAATCTTCATATAGTCGCCGAAATCTCAACAATGGAAAGAGGGATAACGATCTTGCCATAGGAGACTGTGATGATTTATGAATCATGAATCAGGAAGAAAGAATCTAAAAATATTGAAATGAGGTTGAAAGATCTTAAAATGAATTGAAGATATTGAAATGTTTGTTTGGATTTGGAGAGAGAGAGAGAGAGAGAGAGAGAGAGAGAGAGAGAGAGAGAGCCCCTTTTTTATTTGTTATGAATGAAGATCTTGAAATGTTTGTTTGGATTTAGATTTGGAGAGAGAAAGAGAGGACCCCTTCTTTATATGTTGTGAATAAAGATCTTAAAATGTTTGTTTCGATTTGGATTTGGAAGAGAGAGACAGAGAGAGAGAGGACCCTTCTTTATTTGTTGTGAATGAAGATCTTGAAATGGTTGTTTGGATTTGGAGAGAGAGAGAGATATGACCCTTCTTTATTTGTTGTGAATGAAGATCTTGAAATGTTTGTTTGGATTTGGATTTGGATTTGGAGAGAGAGAGAGAGAGAGAGAGAGAGAGAGAGAGAACCCCCTTTTTATTTGTTTTTATTTTTAAAAATTTAAATAAAAGGAAAAAAAAAGTAAAAAAAAAAAATAGAAAAACAAATTAAAATGATAGATTAGTCTTTTCAAGTTTAATTGAAACTAATTTCACAAATAAACTACTTTAAAAAAACCATGAAGTTAAAAATCGAAGATTAGACTAAATCTCAGAAAAAATACATTAAATAAGGACTATTTTTGAAAATTGATCTAAAATAAACTAGTTTTATAATTTTACAAATTAACAAAATTACCATAAACTATTTTTTTTTTCCAAAAAACGTTTACACCAATTTAATTTAATGTATCACAAACGCGTAGAAAAGGTAAACGCGTTGATATTATAGGGTACTCCTATTCGCACGAATCCTTCGTATATAAAGGTCAAATATGACATTTGACAAGATAAAATTAATTTGTCCCTCAACTTCCAAAGATTTTTCAAAATATACCCTTAATATTCTATAGTATTTACTTTAAACTTTACTATTTTTTGGTTATATGATTAAGAAAGTTTTATTTTATTTTATAACTTTTTCCTGTTTGTTTTCTATCAACCATCCGCCGTATAAATATATCATATTAGAAACCTTTTTTTTTTCTAAACCATTTAATATATATTAGTCAATAATTTTTTTTTTTATGTTTTATAACTCTAAGTTTTTCCCAATTAATTATATTATTAATTTTAATTTTAAATATATTATTTTTTACTATTGGTTATATCTATTAAATGTTTAATGACATTTTATTTAAGAAATATAAATTTTAATAACAAAGTCGCGAGTTTTGTGTAACGGGTAGAAGCGATACCGTCGACCTATTGATTCCAAGAAACAGGTATCTTAACACCCCCCCCCCCCTCTCTCACTCTCTCTCTCGCATTACATTCTAGCTACAATGCATTTTTATTCCATTCAATGTTATAGTACCACTTTTTAACTTATTAAATTCTTCATAAAACCCTCGTTGGGGATGATCATACTTTATTATCGATTTTTTAATTTAATATATATATATATATACTAGTTTATAACCCGTGGGAACCACGGTTATAAAATTAATTAAACTTTTATAGTAAAAACTCAACATTATTAATCAGTTATTTTAAATAAATTATTAATTTAAGAGATATTTTTTTTAGTTATGTAAAATTATAATCGTTTATTCAAAAAAATATGTAAAATTATTGTTTAATATATATTAGATATTTTTTATTTGTGAATTAATAAAAAAATTAATATAAAATTTAAATTTTAAAATAAAAAATAAATACATTGACAAATAGCATCACATTAATGAGGAGGTCAAATTTTTTTTGAAATGGAGAACTAATATATTAACAAGTGGCAACACATTAATTTTGAAGTCTAATATGATGGCACATGGCAAAAGAACTACTCTTTTATTAGTATATATATATATATATATATATATATATATATATATATATATATATATATATATATATATATATAACATTTTCTATTTGGTGTCGAACACTTTAAAATTCTCAATCATTAAAAAGAGACAATGTTGAATTACCATGTGTTTTATTTTATATATACAAAATATAAATTTAGTTAATAAAACAATTAATAAACAAAACAACAGTAAAATAAAAACTATAAATGAAAAGTGAAAGGTAGATTTTGTTACTTTAATAGAATATAAAGGGCATCAAATGAAAAGTGATAAAATATATTAAAAACGAAATTGAACTGCTGACAAATGACAAATGAAATGATGTTCGTGTTCGTGTATATAGAATTTTTTTCGTGCGTTTAGAATAACCCTCTATCCGGAGACCGGAGACGTTGATCTTGATGCCTGTATATTCCCCTCTCTTTAACAACCTCTCATCTTACTAATTTCAATGGCGTCTGCTTCATCTTCTGCTTCTCTGCTATATCATACCAGCTGCTATGATGTTTTTCTAAGCTTTAGAGGTGAAGATACGCGTAATTCTTTTACAGATCATCTGTATGCGGCTTTAGTACGAACAGGACTTCGCACTTTTAGGGACAATGATGAAATCGACAGAGGTCAACAACTCAAGCCTGAAATTGAGAGAGCTATTAAAGAATCAAAAGCTTGTATAGTTGTCTTGTCTGAGAAATATGCAAATTCCAGATGGTGCCTTGACGAGCTTGTGTTGATCCTTGAGCAAAGGCGGAGCTTTAATCAATTTGTTTTACCGGTTTTTTACCATGTCGATCCGTCGGATGTTAGGAATCAAAGACAAAGTTTTGCGATAGATGTAGATGAAAGAGCAGAAAAGTTAAAATGGACCGAGTTTAATGTCAATCGATGGAAGACAGCCCTTACCGAGGTTGCTGATTTGTCCGGCATGGTTGTTTCGGGGTATGCTTTTTCTATTCATGCTTATAGTTTAATCCTTTGGAAACCCTTTTTGATTTATTCAACTGAGAGTGTTAAATATGATAAGGAATCGTAATTTGTGCCTAGTAGATGTCCAGTTCAGGTATGCTTCTTAAACACATCAAGTCATGGAATTTTCTTTTGCTAATATTGCTTTAAATTTATGCAAAGAGCAGAACCAGATGATTAGATGCTTACCTGTTTGATGGTGTTTTCAGTAGTAATCTACTATTCTGTGGCCTTTTCCTTAGTAGTCTAAGGGTTTGGTTTACTCTTGCACATACTTCATTTCCTTTGCTCCTTGTCTCCGGACAAATAGCTGTTCAGTTACTTATAACAGACATTATGCCATTCTCTTCCTTATAGACGGTTTACTATAAATACAGAATATGCTGTGAAATGGTGAGTGGGAAGTGAACCTAAAACTAAATACTGATAACATAGCAGATATTCCGGTTTGACTTTGGGCCAACACGTATTCTCGCCAACCAACCAACAGATTAAACATGAATAACCTGTCCGTTTTGGGAAGTTGTCCAACCTGATTCATTCAATTCGGGTGTATCTTGACCTTCACATTATTAAACACTTATTCAATCAGATTGCTATGTAAACCTCAGTTCATCATATAATTTATTAGGTTGATAATGGTAGCAGGAAGAATATTACATTTGCTACAGCATTTGAATTTCATGCGCTATAATTGAAGCAGTTAAATTCTCTTTATTCTTTTCTTGCAGGTCTGAAACAGACTTTATCGCAGAAATTGTTGGTACAATCAACTCTGAACTAGATTCGAAACTAGTTAGTACTCCAGCTCATCTAATTGGAATGGATTTGCGAGCTAAATTTATCAACTCTTGGTTGGAAAATGAGCAATCTGGAGATAATGTTTTAGCAATTTGTGGCATGGGAGGCAGTGGCAAGACAACACTGGCCCAGTTCATTTATAACTCAAACAAGCAAAAATTTGGAAGCAACTCTTACCTTGAAGAGATCGGAAAGCACTATAAACAGTCTGATGGTTTGCTTGGGTTACAGAAACAACTTCTCTCAGACATTCTAGGGGAAAAGAATGCAAGTATATCTAGTGTATCTGAGGGTACAAGGAAGGTTGAAGAGGCCTTACAAGTGAAAAGGGTGCTTATTGTTCTTGATGACATTGATGAACATGATGAATTAGGTGCTTTACTTGGAACAAGGGCTTTTTATACACAAAGCAAGATCATAATAACAACTAGGCTTTTAGATATACGTGCATGGTTTGGGTCCATATCTTGGAGTTGCCGGGTGCATGAACTTGAATTGCTGAATGATCATGAATCATTAGAGCTTTTAAGTTACCATGCATTTGGATCCAAAATTCCCATGGAAGGTTTAAAGGAGCTCGCAGTACAATTAACAAAGTATTGTGGTGGAAACCCACTAGCTCTGAAAGTACTAGGTTCTTCTCTATTTGTTGATGCGGAAAACCCAAGCAAAAGAAGTAACAGAATCGAGATTTGGAGAAGTACATTGAATTCACTGAATTCATTGAAAGGAGATCTTGATTGTAAAATCCAAGGTATACTACAAAAGAGCTTTGACTCATTGCCACATGCCAGTAACAAAGAGTTGTTTCTCCATATTGCTTTTTTCTTTGTTGGTGAATACGAGGGTTATGTGGTAAAGATATTGGAGCATGACTGGCATGCAAAGGCTGGGATCGTGACCCTCACTAACAAATGCCTTCTTACCATCTCACCAAGTAAAAAACTGATGATGCATCAATTGCTTCAAGAGATGGCAAGAAACATAGTTCTTCAGGAGTCCAGAGATCCTGCAGCACGTAGTAGAATCTCGCAAAATGATGAATCTTATCGTTTGTTGAGAAAAGGAGAGGTATGATGCTTCTTATGTATATCTTTAATCCTTTTTTCCCCTTCAACAACCTCCTATGTTAACTTTCCTTGTCTCATTTCATGTCTTTCCCCATTAGGGTTCGAAAACAATTGAAGGTCTAGCACTTGACATGCGAAAGCTAGAGGAAGGGATGACATCAAATGTAAGACAAAGTTGTGAATGAGTGTGGTACTCTTGATATTTTTGCTGCATTTACCTTTAATTTTACCTGCATTTTATGTTATACATGAGATATGTACCTAATTAATTAACTTAATGCTAAATTTGCAGCCACCAACCCTTAAAACAACTTCACTTGTAAAAATGGACAAACTGAAATTGCTCAAGCTCCGATATGTGAGACTCACGGGGTCCTACAAAAATTTTCCAGAATTAAGATGGTTACACTGGACTAATTGTCGATTGAAAAAAATACCCTCTGGCTTATTGGGGAGCAGCTTGGTGGCTGTAGATATGAGCAATGGATGGTTGAAGAAGTTTGAACCTCCCATGGTAGGAATTTGATGTCCTGTTTGTCACTTAATTAACCTTTTAGCTTCCCAACTTTCTGACAGTTTATGTGTTAACATACCATGAATGAATCTTGGTATTCTTTGAATAGGTTCTTAATTCACTGAAGATCCTCAATCTTAAATGGTCGCTCAATCTTGTCAGTGTCCGCCATCTTTCCCGACTTCCTAATCTCGAGACTTTGATTCTCTCGTACTGTTTCAGTCTCAGTGTGACTCATGTTTGTGAAAGCATTAGAGGTCTTAAGAAGCTTTTTCTACTGGACTTTGGAGGGTGTAATCAACCTGGAAAGGTTGCATCAAAGCAATTGCAAAGGCTAAAAGCTCTATGTACTGGTGGAGGAATGCCACAACCGTTGTTGGTCCCATTGCCAGACTCATTAGAGTTTCTGTTTCTCAATGATAGCAACCTTGATATAAGCCATGATGATCCATCATTTTTAAGTAAACAGTCATCATCGTTTTACAAACACATGAATTTTGGCAGTAATCCGTTAATGCTTCTGACCAATTACACTAATCATAAAATGCTTCGGGTGCTCGATGTGAGTGGTTGTCCAAATATAGAGTCCCTCCTATGTCTCCCAAGTACGCTAGAAGAGTTGTATACTTCTTGGTGTTCTTCATTGAAGAAAATAACATTCGAATCTGCTAGGTTCAGATTGCGGAAATTTGAATATCTAGGTTGTGAAAAGTTGTTTGAAATTCAAGGCTTTTTCAAATTGGTGCCATTAGCAAAGCTTGATGAAGCAGATTTGGGACATATGAAATGGATCAAAGCATATCAACATACTAGGGTTGACCTTGCAGGTGATGATGTCATTAGATACGGTTGTCATATAATGGTACATTTCTCTCTCTCTCTCTCTCTCTCTCTCTCTCTCTCTCTCTCTCTCTCATGCATGAATAAGCAATCAAAAAATACATCTTCTTGCCATCGGAAAATTGTTTAATATATGAGTAATTTGATAATTCTGCAATGTGTTTGGCCAGGTGTTGTATGAATACGGTATAATGAGCACATATCTGGCAGGCATAAAGGATCAAAGCATGCCAATGTCCAAGTATAAGTCATCATCCTCGTGCTTATCCTTTCGTGTGCCTTCTTGTCCTGAGAAATTCAGGATCCAAGGGTTAAATGTAACCGTGTCATACAGACTAACAGGCACATCACACAAGGATAAAGATACATGGGCTTTATTCACCAAAGTTAGCAATATAACCAAGGGCCTTACTTGGATGTATAACCCTGCGATCTACTGCAAACCGGGAGTAAAAGATGTTGTGTGGTTAAGCTATTGGCCCATTGGGAACTTATTAGACACTGGAGATGAAATCAATGTGTCCATCATTGTGGGGGATGGATGGATGGTAAACAGGTGTGGTGCCAGCCTTGCGTTCATAGATGATGGTGAAGAAGAGTTAGAATACTACAAAAATTACAAGAAAGAGGAAGAAGTTATTGGAGGAGATCTATCTGAATTTGAGCTCACTACAGGAGCCTACTATCTTTGTCGTCGCGATTACTTGGAGTCAACCACCCATGATTGGTTAAATATATTACTTGGTGATACCATTCCTCGTAATTATAGATCCTTATATAACACTTCCATAGACTTACGCGGATGGAGAAAATCTTATCAAACAGACTACGGGGCATCATATATGGCGCGTAGAGCTTGGAGAGGTGACGCTTTTTCCGAGAAGGATCCAACTATATACTTTTAATCAGCTTGCTAACCTATGTAAATGAACACGAGCTTTGCTTATTATTGGAATAAAGACAAAACAGCAAAACTGGTCCCTGTTTTTTGTATTTTCTCCCGGTTTTGGCCCAAACCTTGACAAAAAATGGTCCTTTTGAGTTGGTTGTGGTTTTTGTCCCTCCCAAAACTTTATGAATGATGCAATTTTTTTTTCCTTCTTTTTATTAAACAATTAAAGAAAGATAAAATAAAATCAATCTCTCTCTCTCTCTCTCTCTCTCTCTCTCTCTCTCTCTCTCTCTCTCTCTCTCTCTCTCTCTCTCTCTCTCTCTCTCTCCGGAAAACAAGAAACAAAGGATGGACCACCCGGCCAACCAAATTGTGAAAAAAATATAGAAACACAATTTCCCAATATCATCATCTATTATATCATTTATATCATTTGAGGACAAATAGACACATGGTTTTCAGATACTTACAAAGAAACCTCGCTACACAATTCCTAATCTATTCTCTTGATGAACACTCATCCTAATCTACAACGATCAATAACTTACAAAAGAACAAAGAACTGATAAAGTTGTACAAAACTTAAACCCCTTTTTACAACGAGAGAGAATAAGAAGATGAACTGTAAAAATATCTTGTCAATTATGACCATCGACCACTGTAGCTTCAACTAAATACTTTGGGTAAACGGATCATATAACCCACCTGTCAACCCGTTAAAAACTCACACCTTGATCCACAACTTTTATCCAAATGTCATAATTGTCCCAAAGTCACAAATGCACAGCTAAATCAATCCAGATATTTTACACAAAACATCTTGCACATTCCTGAAATGACAAGTTTACAATACTTTGCAATACTCACAATATTTAACACCCCCTCCTCAAACTTGACATTTAAGGAAGAATATTAATTTTTATTAAAAGGATTAATTAAACCAATTTCATTTAACAAAAAATTATGTTTTGAAACACTTAAAAACTTTGTCAAAATATCAACTCTCTATTTAGAAGAACTAATTTTTCCTACTTTTAAAATACCATTTGCAATCTTTTCTCTAACAAAATGTAAAGAACGCCGAAATCCGAGTTATAACGAAGTGTAAAGAACACTTAAAAACTTTGTCAAAATGAATCATCTTAACTAAGTTATAGTATATATTACAAGGTTTCCGTACATATAAAGAACGCCGAAATCCGAGTTATAACGAAGAAGTTATGACATGTCGAAGTTTCGCGACAGAACCGGCAGGACACATCACGACGTAAAAAGTAAATTTACATTAGAGCGATATTTAGCCTTAGCAATCTAAACGAAAGTCGTAGAATACGTTAAACCATGAGTGTGCATAAAAAGAACACCCAAATCTAACTTCGTATGAGGAAGTTATGATTTTTCGAAGTTTCGACTTAGCAGTATGCAGCCTGAATGCTCGATTTGAGACCGAGCGGTTTTTAGCCGAAACAATCTAAATGAGAATTGAAGATCTCATTAATTGTAGTAAAACGATAAAAAGATAGGAGAAAACGGACGTCGGATGAAGAAGTTATGATTTTATAACAGAGTTTTCCTATCCCGGTCTACTAAAAATAAATAATAAAAATAAATTCAAAATTAGCCGACGGAGTCTAAACGAAAGATGTAGATCGTAGTCTCACCTACGCGTGGATATAAAGAACATCGAAAACGGAGTTCGTATGTGGAAGATATGAATTTTTGAAGTTTATTTAATAATTTCGATATTTAATTTAAATAAAAATTGGCCGATATTATCCATGGGGGGAGTCAGCGGCCTTATCGTTGTTACGCCCAGCGTAATGAAATTTACGCCCCGCATAAATTGGGCTTCAGCCCCCTATAAAAGGAAGTTGAGCGCAGCCGATTCAGTTGCTCATTTCTTCCCGTTTTCTCGCGTTTTTGCATAGTTTTTCGTGCAACAAATATCCCGAAGCCCCGGTATCATTCCCGAGCCCCGAAGCAAGTCCCGAGGCCCCGAAGATCCCGAGAAGTGCGATTCCCGAGCCGAAGCTCTGCCCGCGAGGAGCCCGGTTTTTGTGAAGATCTTCCAGATCTACCAAAGAATATTACTTCTACAAGTCATAGTGTTGTCCGATCATCTTCTAATCAAGTGAGTGTGTAGTTACTTTCTTCTAACGCATAATTATGAAGTATTTTATACGAAATACGTGTTATGTGTATATATATTGTTGTTATATGTATGAGTGTGTGGTTACTCTCTTTTAAACACATAAATATAAAGTATTAGCTATGAAATACGTGCTATGCGTTATATATTAATTGTCTATATGAGATGGGCTTGGAATTGATGTTTTTATATGGGTGTTAAATGATTTAAACTATATATGTAATTTATATCTACAAATATGTTGGGTAGAACATGGGTAGATGAAATAGTTGATGTGTGTTGAACGAATGTGATAAGAGAAAGGTGAGGATATAATGGTGATGATAATTAGGTGATGAGAAACAGGTGATGATAGAAATGTGATGATAATTAGGTAATGATAAATAGGTGATGTGAGATGAGAGGAGATACCATAACGTTGACCGGCGATGTGGAAATTTGGCGATGTAGTCATCTACCAGAGTATAGATGGCGACCACGGACTATTCTAGATGACCCCGTGGAAACACCAGCAGGCTCATAACCTGTAGGTGATGAATTATGAGTCTAGGCGATGTTGTAGCTACGTATTCATGCGATGATACTCTAACCCTTACTATGAATTACGAGTCCAGGCGATGTTGTGGCTATGTATTCATGCTATGATAGTCTAACCCTTATTATGACTTACTAGTCTAGGCGATGTTGTGACTACGTAGGAAAAAGTCCTTAGGAACAAACATACAAGGAAATGTGATGTAAGGAGATGAGAGGTAAATACGATGTAGGAGATGACCCTTAGGATAATTCCTTAGGGAAGGTACTTAGGAAATAAATGGAGATAACGGGGATGGGTAATTGGGTTGATTGTTTGATGATTGAATATAATAATTATATTATTGTGGGTTGAAAACCCTATATGCTCACTAGGCTCCCAAGCCTGACCCACTCAGTTTAAATTGTATCACAGGTATCGATACGAAGCTGCTTTGCACTGAGAGATTAAAGGAGATGTAAATCATTAGTGTAATTGAATGTAAGTTCTGTTTATGCTTATATGTCTGTATCGGAACATGACATCCCGAGGTTTTATTAGTAATTGAAAATACATTTCTTTTTTAGAAATGTTTTGATAAGTTATTATCATATCTTGTTTTGGGAACAAATTCGGCAACCGTTTTCTTTAAAAGATTACTCTGATTTTATAAAACAAAGCATAAACAAATCGGTCTTTCCTGACCGTGAAAATGGGGATGTCTCAAATCTTCAAGCTTAAAGCACCAAAGATCCTTCTCCAACCTCTAATTCACTCAACAATGGGGTCTCCTCACGAATTTAGGGCTTCTGGATCTCAAGGAATGGTAAAGATGCTGGGGAGAAGATATGATGTTCTTTATATAGGGCTCAACCCTCGAAATTAGGGTTTTCTCCACTCAGCACCAACTCGCCGAGTCCATCCATGCTACTCGCCGAGTTGGTCACTTAACACGCGACTAGAGTCGTGACCCTACTCGCCGAGTCCACTCGTGGACTCGCCGAGTTGCCCTTTCCCATTTACACTTTTATCCCTTCAACTCTACTCTTGATATTTCGGGATGTTACAACCCTCCATTAGTCAAGAGTGCGGTGGGTAAGAGTGGATACCCATTCAATCGCCATTTTATAGGCAATTTCCTTAAACACCCTTATAGACCAGCTTCGTGAATGAGGCCTACTAACGGTAAGACTTGACACTTTACTCATACATATATAATATTAGACTTTTAATGATATATATAGTATAGGGTGTATTTTACACTTTTAAAATACTAGGTAGTCTAATTTAATAATTATACACTTTAATTTATTAATAAAACCATAAGGGTGTAATATGAACTTTTCAAAACAATACTAGGGTTTTAGAATTTAACATTTCTAAATTAAACTTTTAATCAACTTTTAAATTCCAAAACTTGAGGGCAAGTTTTTGAAACATTTCAAAACATTAGGGTTTCAACTATTTAAATTTCAAAACAAAACCTTTAAGTTCAAATTTAAACTATAAAACCTAAAAGGTAGATAATTGAAACTTTTTCACAACATAAAGATCAAATAACAAATAATAGAAATTAAACAATTAATTTTGTGATTATCTATATTTGACCTAATTTCAATTTCTTGCAAGATAAGTTACCCAATTAATACAAATAATCAATCTTTAATCATATAAGGAAGTTATTATCTAATCAATTGGTAATTATCTTTTATTTAATCAAGGATATTCTCAAGTATAGGATAGAATTCGAATATTAAAGATCCAAAACTATTAAGGCAAGTATCCTCAAGCATTACAACAAGAAATCCTGAAACTGCCTCCTTCTGACGCTCGAACTCGCCGAGTTCCTCTATGGACTCGCCGAGTTGGAGCAACTCGCCGAGTCCACATTGGAACTCGTCGAGTTCATCAGACAAGGGACCAAAAAATAGATTTTAAAGCTTGAACAAATAACCAAGGAATCAATACAATAGAAACCAATCTAGGCTCTGATACCACTGATGGGTTTTAGCCATAAGAACATCCTATGTGCTCATGCAACCCTAATGCTTGGATCTAGGTTTCTCTATTGTACATGCAATTCATCCAAGACTTTAAACCCTAGATCTAGCATACAATTAATCAAATTAACTTATGAATGGGGTTTAGATCTTACCTTGATTGTTATGTAGCAATAACAATCTCAAATCCTCTTTGTAATGACTTTAGAAAGCTTAGAGTCACAAATGTCACTCCTCTAATGGTTCACAAACACCAAGAGCAAGAGGATGAAGAACAAGAAGACAGGAGGCTGCCCAAAACGTGTGGAAACCCTAAGGTATATGTTCACCACGTTTTTTAGTCTCAATGG